CTGTAGACAGCTGCCATCTTCCCCAGCAGTTCCTCCTTTCAGCTGTGGAGACAGGACACCTTTCCCTACCTCCTTCCTATTCCATAGCAAGCCTCCAGGGCTCCTCCAGCTGGTGGAACCTTGGTTCCTGGATTCCCCAGGCTGAGGGCACCTTGCATGTTGTGGGGGAGACCTGTGGGGCTCACCTTGTCCCTGCCCTAGGACTACCCCTCTGTGGGTCAGGTAGCCCAGGCCCTCTCTGCAGCAAACATCCAGCCCATCTTTGCTGTCACCAGTGCTGCACTGCCTGTCTACCAGGTGAGAGCTGTCTACATGTCAGATCCCCAGCCCCACCCCCGCCTTTCTCAATTCCCCCAAAGATCCATTCTCTGTCCCCCATATGCCCTCCTTCCAGACCCCCAGGAGCCCATTTTCCTAGAGCTGTGACCTACCATTTCCCTTAACTCCCCATAACTCAGGAGCTGAGTAAGCTGATTCCTAAGTCTGCGGTTGGGGAGCTGAGTGAGGACTCCAGCAATGTGGTACAGCTCATCATGGATGCTTATAATGTGAGGGGCCAAACGAGGGGGAGATGGTGAGGGTGGGCACTAGGGAAAGGTGGAAAGGGGTCCTTGGGTGGGGTGGCAGAACTAAGGGGAAATGGTCACTTTTTGGTCTAACATTCCACAGCTCCTACCTATAGTCTGCATGTGGCTGTCATTAATTGTTCAATCTTACATTCATAAATCTTAAACATCTGACGTGCAGAGAGCATGGAGCTCAGATCCCCGCCCCACCTCCTCACCTGGCAGAGTGCAGCCTGCCAGGAAAGTTTCAGTCACTGAGCTTTTATTTCACACACCCACCATCCTAGGTGTACATACTGTTTCTACTTCATTTAACCCTGCCAAAAGCCTTGCTTCGTAACTGTTATCATCCCTCTTTTACAGAGGAGGAAACCCACACAAGGCTAAGTGACTTGTCCAAGGTCACAAAGATAACAAACAGAAGGGCTGGCATTTTTCCCCAGTCTGTACATAAACAATGTGAGATCTGGAGCCTGCTTTCACTATGTTTATAAATAATTCAGAGCTATTTTTCACAAGAACCATAGAATTTTACAGGTAGAAGGAACCATAAAAACTCTTAGTGGTTTAGGTCTTATCTCTGCAACTAGGCTGTAGGCTTCCTGATAACAGAGCATCTCCTAAACCTATGGCAAAAAAATCTGAGACGGTATCAAATTTCCCAAGACAAACTCTGTAATGAATTTGCCCTTTAGACCTGGCATGCACCCAGGTTATGTGTCCTGATGTGGGGCTTCACAAACATGGTCTCTGCACTGAAATGCTGTATTAGAGGCCTCTGGATCCTGTATATTCTATGCAAGGTTCTCATGGGTCCTCCCTCCAGAAATGCCTCGACTGGGCAGAATGTAAGGAGCCCCAGGTGGCAGAGGGCAGGGTGCTGGCAGAACTGGGAACACCTGGAGAGGACATAAGGTGGGGGTGGCGTCCTTTCCTGCCTTCACGTGGTTATCCACTTGCTCTCTTCCCATAGAGCCTGTCTTCCACTGTGACCCTTGAACACTCTTCACTCCCTCCTGGGGTCCACATTTCTTACGAATCCCAGTGTGAGGGTCCTGAGAAGACGGAGGGTAAGGCTGAGGATCGAGGACAGTGCAACCATGTCCAAATCAACCAGACGGTGAGAGCCAGCAAGCACAGGCAGAAGGCGGGCGGGCAGGGGGAGGTGGGAGTGGGAAATTAAGCAGGCAGGGAAAGATGGGGGGCAGGAATGGGGAGTGATGGGAGAGCCTGGGGTAATCCTCCATCCATCCTTCCTGAAGTAGTCTGAGTGGCTTCCTCGGGTAAAGTTTCTAGGAGTTGGGTGTTACCATGACCCCATCTCTTCATTTACTAAGGGGTGAGGTTCTGGATGATCTAAGGGGTGAGGTTCTGGGTGAGTTTGGTGTGTTTGTATAACCATGGCCTGATTCCTGCCTACCCTGTTCTTAGGTGACTTTCTGGGTTTCCCTCCAAGCCACCCACTGCCTCCCAGAGCCCCATCTCCTGAGGCTCCGGGCCCTTGGCTTCTCAGAGGAGCTGATTGTGGAGTTGCACACGCTGTGTGACTGTAACTGCAGTGACACCCAGGCCCAGGCTCCCCACTGCAGTGATGGCCAGGGACACCTACAATGTGGGGTATGCAGGTGAGGGCCTCCTCTTCCCTTCACCCAGCTGGCTGACAACAAACGACCAACCCTGGCCCGTATTCCTCCGCTGCTTTCCATTCCCCCCACAGGAGTATCCTTGACATCACTAGACTCCCCACTCAATTTCATCCCTTGAAGCTTCCCAGATATGTTCAGGCCCTCCTCTTGACTGCGGCTCCCTCCACTCTCTCACCCCTCGTCGGTGTTCCACTATACTTATTCCTTCAGTTGTCTTTCTCCAACTCTTGAGAACTTGGGTTTAGAGGTTCCTGGGAGAGACAAGTCAGGGGTGATCAAACCCTCTGACCTACTTCCCTCCTTTGCCTTCCCCTCCCAGCTGTGCCCCCGGCCGCCTAGGCCGGCTCTGTGAGTGCTCTGAGGCTGAGCTGTCCTCCTTAGATCTGGAATCTGGGTGCCGGGCTCCCAATGGCACAGGGCCCCTATGCAGCGGAAAGGGTCAGTGCCAATGTGGACACTGCAGCTGCAATGGACAGAGCTCTGGACATCTGTGCGAGTGTGACGATGCCAGCTGTGAGCGACATGAGGGCATCCTCTGTGGAGGTACCTTGGGGAGAAGGGCAGGGTCTGAGAGGCCTTCCCAAGGCACTTAGGCTCTGGGAGTCTCCTGGCATGGAAGGCAAATGTCAAAGATTCTGGTGTATGGGTTAGAGAGTGTGTTTGGCATACTTGAAAAAGACTGGATGCATGCGCTTGTGGTGCCATGTGATGGCCAACTGTGTGTGTGGAGTATGGTTGTCACCCTCTGCATGGCTCTACCCCAGGCTTTGGTCGCTGCCAATGTGGAGTATGTCACTGTCATGCCAACCGCACGGGCAGAGCATGCGAATGCAGTGGGGACATGGACAGTTGCATCAGTCCCGAGGGAGGGCTCTGCAGTGGGCATGGACGCTGCAAATGCAACCGCTGCCAGTGCTCGGATGGCTACTACGGTGCTCTATGTGACCAATGCCCAGGCTGCAAGACACCATGTGAGAGACACCGGTGAGGCCTCAGGTCTTGCATCTTGGGAGCAGGGGCACAGTGGGGCTTGTTGAGCCACTCCCATCTGCCTACTCTCCTTCCTGCTTGTAGCTGGGTAAAGGGCATTGGGTGACAACTACCCAGCTGGTAACTTATTGGCATCTACTCCATAGGGACTGTGCAGAGTGTGGGGCCTTTGGGACTGGCCTCCTGGCCACCAATTGCAGTACAGCTTGTGCCCATACCAATGTGACCCTGGTCTTGGCCCCTATCTTGGATGATGGCTGGTGCAAAGAGAGGACCCTGGACAACCACTTGTTCTTCTTCTTGGTGGAGGATGACGCCAGAGGCAGGGTCGTGCTCAGAGTGAGACCCCAAGAAAGTAAGTGGTCAGGGATGCCACAAACCCTGGAAGTTTGATGGGTAGGGTCTCAACTCTGGGGATGCAGAGTGAAGATAATGGGAAACAGGATGGGGGCTGAGGCAGAACTGTGAATCCAGAACAAAGGCAGAGGCGACTGAGCAAGTGGACAAGGCTAAGGCCCTGGGCAGTGAGAATAACCCTGGACCTTGCTGGGTTCCCTTTGCTTTCAGTGACAGGGTTGGACAGGCTGGACACACCATGAACAACTGTTGATCTGTCCCTATGCTCCAGCTCCCACAAGTGTGTCTGGTTTCTTGTTCACAGAGGGAGCAGACCACACCCAGGCCATTGTGCTGGGCTGCGTAGGGGGCATCGTGGCAGTGGGGCTGGGGCTGGTCCTGGCTTACCGGCTCTCGGTGGAAATCTATGACCGCCGGGAATACAGTCGCTTTGAGAAGGAGCAGCAACAACTCAACTGGAAGCAGGTGAAACTTCCTGGTTAGGCCCCCTTTTAGCTGTCTCCCCACCACAAGCCCATCCCTGATTCCTCCCACTGGGTTCCCCCAGCGCCTGGCACATGTAACCAATCCCTCTGCTAACTTCCATCAGCTCCTAGGATTCGGCTCAAGACTGGCCTCTTAGGTCTAGAAAGGGGACAAGGAATCCTGGGATTTTTGCTCATAATCTGCAACATCTTTCCTCAGGACAGTAATCCTCTCTACAAAAGTGCCATCACGACCACCATCAATCCTCGCTTTCAAGAGGCAGACAGTCCCATTCTCTGAAGGAGGGAGGGACCCTCACCCAAGGCTCCTCTCCTTGGAGGACAGTGGGAACTGAAGGGTGAAAGGAAGGGTGGGTCTGTAAGACCTTGGTAGGGGACTAATTCACTGAAGAGGAGCGGCCACCACCCTACTTCATTTTCAGAGTGACACCCAAGAGGGCTGCTTCCCATCCCTGCAACCTTGCATCCACCTGGGCTACCCCACCCAAGTATATAATAAAGAGTCTTACCTCAGACCACAGCTGTCACTTTTCTTTACCTCATCAAGGCCAAAGCAGGCTGTTTATAGCCTGGCCTCGGGAAAGTTCTTGTCCATCTTCCTCCTGCCACCTGAGGGCAGGGAGAGGGCCCAAGCGTGAATGTGCAGGAGAATCCTGAGGTGCGCCCTGGGACCCCGGAAGCCAGGTCTGGAAAGGGCCTCTGCGGATGCACGTGGGTCCCAGACCAGAGACACTGCATCTGTTGGTGTCTAACCCCCTTCCATTCTGCTGCGTGTGCTTTTTTTCCTCTTGCTCAGAACTGATGCCCTGTTTTTGCTCCTACTTGTTTGCTCCTCTGTGGAGAAGGGGTTTTAAAATGGCTTATAGGGTGCTGGAAGTTGTGGGGTGATTATATAGGGAGAAAAAAGGAAGGAAAACAACTAAAACCAGTATGAAAAAGCTTCCCCAAAGAGGAGGTAGTAGAAAAGCCCCATTTTCCTTTTATTTAAATATCCTAAATGTATCACGAAGGAACATACACTGCACTTTAATGGTAAAAAGATACAAGTTTATAACATCTTATAAAAACTACCATTTAAAAGTGATCTTGTCCATTTGATATTCCCCTCCCCCATAGCAAAATAAGTATATTATTTAAAAAAAAAAAAGAAGGTGGAGAGGAGGATAGGAAGGGGACAGTTGATAAAACCCCAGGGCCACAGCAGAGGCAAAGGGCATCTGGGGAGAGGGTTAGAAGCTGTGGCAGACTCCACTAATGTAACCCTCCAATGTCAAGCCATGGGCGCGATCAGTAGCTAAGTGATGACGAGGCTGTTGGGGGTGGACGGAAAAGACTTGGGGCAAAGCAGACTCTTTATAGCCTGGGCTGGTAGGGCCTGGTGCAGCAGCCTACCCGGAACTGGCACTACTCTTTCCCAGGTTCCCTGACTCTCCGTCCTGGTCTCTGAGAGCCTGCCCTATTTCCGTCTCCCCTACTCCAAACACACCTGAGGCATCTTCCAGTGCTAGGCCCCATGCTGGCCAGCAAGGGTGAGGCATTGGGCCCAGGAGCCTCTGCAGCGGTCTGAGTCAGTGGCTTCCCTGGGGTATCTGTGGGACTCCCGGGCCCTCTGGATGTGGAATAACTCCTTTCACTGCTTTGCTTCTCTCTTCTCACACATCCATTACCCCAGATATCGGCGTGGGAACTGAACCAACCACCTGCTCCTGAGTTTCCCTCACCGGGTCCCTGGCAGGGGTGGCTCTGCTATGGCTGTTCGCACATACTCTCTGAAGTTCCCTCGCTCCCACCCATCCAGGCAGGAAACCAAGGTCTGTGGGAACCCAGGGCACCTTCTGACCCAGTACACACATTAGTACACATAGGGGCATAGGTCACTCATGTGAGTCTCTCCACATACACCCCTATGCCAAACAGATTAGCTGTAAGTGGCAGGGAGAAAGGCCTCTCATTTTCATAAGCATTTTTGGGAGGATAGTTTTCTAAACATTTTAAAATGGTTTACAGGGTGCTGGAAGATGTGGGGTGAATCATCCCAGAAGAGAAGGACGAAAACCCCAGCTCCAGCAGAACCCTTGAACAGGAAGGGGGTGGCTCACATGCAGAAAGATGCCCCTGCTTGCAGGGACCACAGGGCTGATCCAAGGACTGAGGTCTAAGTTCTGGACCACATCAAATGGGAGTGTCAGCATAAAGCAATGAGTACACGGCAGCACACACTCCTCAGCGTCTCCCCAAAAGGATCTCAGATGCTGTCAGGGAAAATCGAATGGGTGCCATGCCTGCTTTTTCCGTGAAATACTCATACCACAGAGGTATGGACAACCCCCTCCCCAACCCCACCCCTCCAGAATAGGTAACAGCCAGGAATCATCCCATTCTTTAAGTTTTCTGGGAAAAAAAGACCCTACTGACAGCTTGGTACTCAGGTTCACCCAGTCTCCATGATTACTAACATAGTTCCCTTACCCGCCACAGGGCAGGTCAGGTTACAGTGGGGGTCAACCAAACCCCAGAACTTCCCATAAGGATTCTTTCTTTAGCAGAAAGAAAAGGTTTATTTCACCTTAGAAAATTCATGTTCACAGGCCCTGGCTTGGGTTAGAAACACCCTAACCACTAGGCTGTTGAATTTAATCTAAAAAAAAAAAAAAAAAAACCCTCCAAAACAAAAGCCCTTCTGTTCCCTAAATTGTGTTCTTCAGCTCCTGCTGAGACCTCAAGCACCCTTCATGTTTGGGCAAGAGGAGGCTATTTTCCACTCATCCTCCCCGAAGGTGAGGGCCAGAGAAGTGTTTGGCTCATTACTATGCCATCTCTTGCAAGCATACAAATACACGCACTCATATCTCACACACACATCCACACACACACCCCTGATTACTTTTTTGGGAGTGGACAAGGTGGTGGTATTGGAGCAGAGAGGAGCAAAGAATATGGTTAAGAATGGAACCTACATTAGGTTTCTTCTTTAGTCTTTTCTCTGCAGCACCCCCACCCCCATCCCCCACACTCTGTTGGGTAGGGATGGCCATTAGGAAGGAAGCTGAGATCTTGTTTTTTTGGGACCAAAGGACAGACCCCTCCCAACCTCCTCTACCTGAATACAGTGATAGGACTTGGGGAGGGAGAACAGCTCCTACTGCTCAACAGGCATGTCAGAAGACCCCAGATTCCTTTGTTTCTTGAGCAGCTGTTAGCCAACTTGGGACCAGTCTTGGGTTGTTCCTAAGAGGGCACAAGGAGAGAGAACCCACTTTGACATCCATGACTCCTTGCTCAACACGTCTCACTTTAGGAGTCAATGGCAGCGAGGTAGCCACAAACCATCTCCAAGACCAACTCCCCAAGAAAAGAAGAAAGGGGCTTCACGGGCCACTCTCACCCAAGTTTCCTCCTAAAGGCACTTGAGCTGATGCCATCAGGTGCCAATGTGACATGGGCCATGACAACACCCACAGGCACAACTCTTCCTTTTCCCTTGAGGAAGGAAGAGGTGCCATCCACTTTTTGGATCCAGTCCTCGTTTGCTCCACCCCGTTTTTCCTTTTATCCCTACAGTGTATAAGGAAGCCAAAGTAAGCTCAGCTGCCATTCCTGATCTTATTCTTCCTCAAAAAGGAGGTGAAGTGCAGGACTGTGAAACACTGAGGAGCTGCTACAACTAAAAACCCAATTTTTGGGGAGAGCTGGACCAGCTATAGTCCCTACTTTGGACCAGGACGCTTATACCTCTGGATTACCTGTGTCCACAGTGTACCTGCTGAAGTTGCTTTTGGATAAACAAAAACAAGAACAGAACAAACAAATCCCCTTCCCCAATCTTTTCCATTTCAGCTGCCAGCTGGAGTCCAAGGTTGTGGGAGCCACACTTCAGTCTTGGTCCTGTACCTTGAGTCCCCACCTATGACCTCAGCCAAGGGTCCAGGGACTAGCTCCCCTACCCAGGAATGCTGTAAGAACTTCCCCGAGATACTCATAGTCTCAGATTATTTACAGAGCTGAGGTTCTGGGGCCACTGTCCCCTGATGCATTCTTCTGGTCTCCTGGGTCCACTCCTCCAGGAGTGGGACAGGTTCACATGGGGCGTTGGTGGGACCATCAGACCAGAGGGGGTGTGCTCTTCGGCAGGTTCTTCTGATCACTCCCACCACCCGGGGGCCCCTTGCGCCTATAGAGAAAACTGCCCGTCGGAAGTCTTGGACTGGCACCCTTGGCACATCCGTTTGTGTCTGAGTAATCGATCTGTCCGAGAAAAACACTGAGAAGAAAGGGAGGGTTAAGTGCCTGAGGGGGAAACTCAGCTACCTGTTGGCTACCTCATTCCTTTCACAGGAGGCAGATACCACATTCTCCATCCCCTCAGCCTGCGCGCAGACAGCAAGAGCACACGGTGGTGGAGAATGCAAGCTCTCGGGCCAGAGCGCCTGGGGCTGAATCTTGGCTCTATCGCTCAGCAGCTGTGTGACCTTGGGCAAGTTACCTAACAGCCCAGAATCTGTACACTCATCTACAAAACTGTAAAGCGAGGCTAAAAGTACCTACTCACAGCACAGCTGCTTTAGTCATCAAAGATTTATTGAGTATCTATCTCAAGGCAGATACAGAGTAGAGAACCAGAGGAACAAAGTCTCTGCCCTCATAGAGCTTTTATTCTAGTGTCTGAAGATTCAATGTAAGAGTGCGGAGCAAAGCTTGGGACCTAGCAGTGCATCCAGGAAGTGTTAGCTATTATCATTTCTCATCTCTTGTTCTTGTCTTGTTTTGGCCCCAGCTCTTACATTCTCATCAGATCAGATACTGACCCCCAGGGCAAAGATTGTATCTCTTCCTCCAAAGTGCATGAGCTCTGAAGTTGGACTGAATCCCAGCTCTGTTCGTGATCTGCTGTGTCCTTGGGAAACTTAACTTCTCTGAATCTCAATTTTCCCATATGTGAAATAAGGACAATACAGCTACCTTAGGGAGTCATGTGAAGATTAAATAAAATCATCTGTGTAAAGTATGCTCTCATAGTGCCTGGCACAGAGTAAGTGATCATGAAATGCTATTATTATTATTATTACAATCTTGTAACTGCTCCTCCCCATGATCAGCTGCATAAGGCCAGACAGATGCACCTCACCCTGATGTGCCAACTATTATATGGCGAGCAATGCTGGTGGCTCTTTTGTCAGGCAGGAGGGGAGGGTGGCCCTGATTCTTGGGGAAGGAAAAGTGTGTGGGGGATTGCAGCAGGGATGAGCCTTACCTGATGACACCGTTCACACTGGTAAGGCTTTTCACCACTGTGCACACGCTTGTGGCGTTCCAGGTGGTACTTCTGGATGAAACGCATATCACATATATCGCACTCAAATGGCTTCTCACCTGGCCCAAGTGGAGAGAGAAGTGAATGTGGGGAGGTATGTATGGTAGGGACCTCATTCCAGTTATTTTCTCAGAAACTTTAGCTATTAGTAATATGTAGACACCTAAGTGATCATAAATGGGGAGGGGTCCCCAAAGGTGCTGGTCTCAGTGACAACAGATACAAAGCCATGCAATCTCTCTGCTTCACTGACTCATCTTCTTCCTTCATTTCTAATACCCATTAAAATAAACCCACCTAGAGCCACAAACAGACATGGAATACAAGCGATAGACTATCCTCCCTCTTTTGAATGTAAGCAAGACACTTACCAGTGTGAATAAGGATGTGCCTCTTTAGGTGGTAACTGCTCCGAAAGGCTCCAAAGCAGTGTTCACAAACAAAATTTTTGGGAATCTTTACTTGAAAAGAACCATTTTGTTCCACTACCACCACCTGGGGGCAATAATCAGGCATGTCATGAGGCCACCACTGCCCTCTTCCTGGAGAGACTGTTCTACTCTGGTCCACTTCCAGCTGCTGAAGAAAGGAACCTCTCTGATGCTGTCTAAAGGTGCTGCCATCTCCTGTACTCCATGGAGGTAAGAGACCCTTTGGGGAAGGAGGTGGAGTGGGTAAGCTGTCTATCCTGTCAAACCCAGCAGTCTGAGTATGACTTGAGCTGGAGCCTGCCTGCCCCCATGCCACGGGATCTGGGATCTCATGCTCCCCAACCTGTACTCTACTGTTCCAGCAAGGCTAGAGATCAACTACCAAGGTAGTCTCTAGATGAAATCTGGGTGACTCACTCACTGGCTATCAGAGATCAAAGCATCTAGAGAAAGCTCCAGGTTACATGGTAGAGGGAAGGAGGAGGAATATTACCCCATTACCAAACTTTATGAGTTGGGGGGCCACCCCATTACCTGCCTTTTTAACAGTCTTTTTTGAATGAGAGGGCTCAGACAAGCTGTCATCATCTTTGCGGCTCCGGGACTTATCACTGTCTTTTCGGTGACCCTTTGAAGACAAATCAAATCTAAACTCACAGCCCATCTCAGAAGATGAGATGAGACCCAGTGCAGCTCTCAGACAAAATTCATAAATGAGAGTAAACCACCTGCCCCGAAAGCTTAGAGGAAGTATACAACTATTTCTTCTCCAATCACCTGGTCTTAAAGAGTTGAAGGTACACAAAAGACCTTCCTTAGCTTTCTGAAATACCAATGTTCATCCATTCCCCAGCTGGATCCCCTTGCCCCACTTCCCTATGCAGAAGCATCAAGGAATCAGAGCTTGGTATCTCCTGGCAGAGAGCTTGGGCCACCCAATCCCCAGGTGCCACAATGGACTCAAGCGCTGTACCTGACTCGAGCACCTCAGCACATCAGGGCTACCTGCCCGCTCGCCATTCTCGGCCTGCTTGCCGGCAATCTGGCTCAGCATCATCTTCTTGCTGGCTGCAGTGGGAACCAAACTCACACCTGCTAGGCCTTCACAAGCCAGGAGACTTGCCTAAGTTGAAAGGAGATGAGGTGTCAGGTCACCTGGCAGGGCAGGGCAGGGCAAAAATAGACTGCCATTCTCTATAGAACTACCTTTTACACCCAGCTACACACTGCTTCGCTCCAGTGAATGTCCCTCCTCACTGCCAAAGCCTTGCTTCCTTCAAGAGTCCTCCCTAAGTCATCTCACCAGGAACGACTTGTCATCTCTCAGCATTTAAATACAGATCAAGTAAATGATCAAGTATTACCGACACCTTTGTCATCAGAACTAGGCAGTGTGTGTGACTACATATTTCTTTGAAGGTATTTCTAGGCCTTAACTGTGAGTGGGTATGAGGTTCCATCTTGCTAACCCACTGACATGGGAGATTCCTTCAGGACCTTCCTCCTTCCTCTCTCAACAGCCCTCAGTTGGGCCAGGCATGGTGGCTCACACCTATAACCCCAGCACTTCAGGAGAACAAGGTGGGCGGATCACAAAGTCAGGAGTTCGAGACAAGCCTGGACAATAGGTGAAACCCCGTCTCTACTAAAAATACAAGAATTAGCCAGATGTGGTGGCACGCACCTGCAGTCCCAGCTACTTGGGAGGCTGAGGCAGAATAATTGCTTGAACCCGGGAGGCGGAGGCTGCAGTGAGCTGAGATCACGCCACTGCACTCCAGCCTGGCGACAGAGCGAGACTCTGTCTCCAAAAAAAAAAAAAAAAAAAAAAAAAAAATTAGCTTCAGAGCCCACTTTCGATTGGCAGACTTTACTGGTGCCAACTGTATTTTCTATTGGTTTCATTTTTTGTTTGTTGGTTGAGACAGGGTGCCACTCTGTTGCCCAGGCTGGGGTGCAGTGGCACGATCTCGGCTCACTGCATTTTTTTTTTTTTTTTTTTTTGAGACGGAGTCTAGCTCTGTCGCCCAGACTGGAGTGCAGTGGCCTGATCTCGGCTCACTGCAAGCTCCGCCTCCCGGGTTCACGCCATTCTCCTGCCTCAGCCTCCGGAGTAGCTGGGACTACAGGCGCCCGCCACCACGCCCGGCTAATTTCTTTTTGTATTTTTAGTAGAGACGGGGTTTCACCGTGTTAGCCAGGATGGTCTCGATCTCCTGACCTCGTGATCCGCCCGCCTCAGCCTCCCAAAGTGCTGGGATTACAGGCTTGAGCCACCGCGCCCGGCCTGCAGTCTTGACCTCCCTGGCTTAAGCGATCCTTCTACCTCTATCTCATAACTGGGACTTCAGAACACCACCACGCCCAGCTATTTTTTTTTTTGCATTTATAGAGACAGGGTTTCACCATGTTGCCTAGGCTGGTGTGGAACTCCTGAGCTTAAGCAATCCTCCAGCCTCAGCCTTCTAAAGTCCTGGGATTACAGGCTATTTCTCCCTTTAGATTTTAAACTCCTTAAGTATTACCAATTGCAACTGATAGAAAAATTAAACCACTTGGAAGGTTTTCTTGAGTATTTCTCTTGACCTTTTAGGCCATTTATATGTGTGCATGTATGATCACATTTTTTCACATTCCTTGCTCCACATATAGTTTAAAAAATTACTTAAGTAAGGTATGTTTAAGTACATTTCCTCATTCCACTGCTACATTCTTCAGGCTGACTTCGGTTAGCCAGCATGAAAGAAAATACTTTACTGAAAAAAAACTTTTAAGAAATTGTTGGTCAGCAAACGCTCAAATTTATGAAGAAATTCCTTTTGGATGATCAGTATATTCTAGGACCCCTCCCTCCAACTTCTAGGACTCTGGAATGAAAGATCCAGAGTTAAAATCTTAGCTTAGCTGTTTGCACTGTATAATCTCGGGCAAGTTATTCACCTTTGCAAGCCTTAGTTTCCTTACATGAAAAATGCCTGTCATAGTGCTTATCCTTACACGGTTGATGAAAAGTAAACTAAGATGTAAAATGCTTAGCAGTGTCCAGCACAAAGCTGAGTCCCTAGTGGAAGGCAGCCTTCTCAGAAGAGTGAATACAATGCTGAGAAGTGGGTTGCAAAAGACAAAGGAAGAAGAAACTGATGGGCCCCTATTCTATATGGAAAGGAGGAAGCTGTGCATTCAGAAGCAGCTGGAGGAAAGCCAATTATACTACAATCAGACTGCCATCCTGGTGAGACTGGTAGGGAAGGTTCCCTAGAAGAAAGCTTGGGAGAAGCTCTGGAGATGTGTGCACACAGCTATTCTACTCAGATGACTACAACAGCCTATCTGCTCATTCTGTCTCTCCAATCCATCCTCTACCTCCACAATGATAATGACCTCCTACATACACTGCTCTGATGCTACTCCGCTGCTTAACTTAGCAAGGCATAAAAGGGCTTTAGGTTACACTCTGCTTACTGCAGGGAACAACTTCCTCACCTATCACTGTCAATGCTACCTCCATAACCATCCCCAGTTAAATCCCTTAGTCTATAACTACCAAACTACCTGCAGTACCCAGAACCTCATCACGTTTTCCCACGACTCTAAGCTCCTGCCCATGCTGTTCCTTTTGTCCAAACGCCCTTCTATCTGTCAACCTTCATTTTCTTTTTCTATCCAAGCAGAAGTACTGTTCTCTCCTATGTACATACCCCTATTACTGCACATTCCTCAATCAACAGATTCAGAGTCTCTACTACTACCTAGCCACTATACAAGGCATTGTGAATATAAAAATAAATGTCTTTCCATCCCTCTCCCGACTCCAACTAGCCTGGAAGCTCACTGGGGACAAGGACAATCTTATTCATCTTTGTAGTCCCAGCACAATGCCTTGCATGCAACAGGAACTCAATAAATTCCTGTTGAAAAAAAAGAAATGAAGCATTCACCATACTATTCACTCCCTTACACCCCTCAGCACTTAATGTACCAAAAGTAAACTGAGTACACGTTGCTTTGCAAATGTCCCATCAGTGCCTGTGATGCAGGATAGCCTACCTCCTTCATTTGACTGGAAGCTCCCTGAAGGCAGGGGCTGTGGCCTGTCTCCTTTCCTTCCTCTAGATCTCCCCCTGGTGCTTAATACAGAGCTTGGATCACTGGGGTTGGTCAATATGTTGACTAGAGCAGCATTCAAGAGTGAAACTGCAACAGGCTTCCCAGTGATCTTGGAGGAGGACTCTAGAGCTTTTTTACCTGAGCCATGCTGATTTTTCACTTAATGCAACCCAAAAGTTCAGGAGTTCCTTGGTCCACCTTTCCTTAAGACACTGTCGTTTTGAACAACTGTCACCAAACCACGGTAACGACTCCTTCGTGTCCCATCAGTCCTGTTGCCATATTGAACTTTGTCTTCAAATAGAACTTAGTGTCCTCCAAAGAAAAGATAGGTGTTCCAAGAATCCTTGGACTCTGCCTGGCTCCTGCCTATTGTCTGAAGAAAAAGTGTGTCTACCAGTCTTGGTTTTCCAGTTGAATTGTCTCGATGAAGCTCACGATCTGTTCCAGAAACCTAAAACCAGAAAGGACGAAGGGGGCTGCTAAATGCAAGATCTTCAGGCCATTACTACGTGCGACGTGAACTTTTTTTTGCTGGGCGCTCTTTGTGAAGCTCAGAACCAGGACATGAGTCAAGAAGAGTTTTCTTTCTAGGTCAATAGGAGGAACTGGTCTCCTGGGCAAGGAGGGGAAGCCAACAGGAGCAAAAGTAATTGGGGCCTCCTATGGAGGAACTCTGCCAAAAGGGCAATTGCTTGGATTTGCCATCTCAGGAATGGAAAAAGGGGGCGGAGATCCTTTGGGGCTTTTGTGCCCAATGGGCCGGCCCGAAAAGCTCGCACTTTACAGAGGCGGCCAGACTAGGGTGGAGGAAAACTCAAGGGCCATTGCTGGGTGCTTCGGTGGCGGGCAGAAACGGGACTGGCAGTGCCCACACGTGCGCGTTCTCTGCGTCAGCCCGAAGGTAAGGAAACTCGCTGCGGAGGTGAAGGGCAGGCAGGCGAAGCCCGGCGCGGCGTGTTGCCCATCTCGCTCCGGCCAGCCAGCCCCTGCACCCGCTGCACCAACCGGGAGCAGAGTCGGAGAGTGGCGAGAAGCGCGCGAGGTGCGTGCTCGCGCCCGCGTACCCTCCGAGCGAGCCCTCTCCCGGGCCGGGGACGCGGCGGGACGCGCGGGCAGGGGGCGGTGTGCGCGCACGGCCTTTCCCCTCCCTTCCCCGGAGAACCCCCTCCCTTCGCCACGCGCCCCTCCTCCCCTCCCCTCCCCCTTCCCGCGCGGCGCCCCACGGCTTGCGAGGTACTGAAGCGCTGCCGTCTGTACGGACGACGCTGCGCTCTCTGGGGCGTGCTCCTACCTGCCAGGCGCGGCCTCCCGCTGGCTCCCCGGCCGCGCGGCGCCTCCCCCAGGCCCCAGCACACCCTGCCAACGCCGCAGCCGCGGCTGCCCCCACCGGGACCGAGGCAAGTTTACAAACACCAACCCCGGCCCGTTTCCCCGGAAGCACTTCCCCCTCCCCCTCGTCCTCTCCGCCTAGCTGCTGCATCCACTTCCGGGCTCGGCAGCTAGACGAGCGGGGGCAGCCTCAGAGCGGGTGAGGTTGGGGACGCACGGAGAGGTGCAGTTGGTGAGTGGGCGGTGCCGTGCGCGGATGGCCTGGAGGAGGGGGCGCCAAGGCCCGCGCGTGCGCCGTGGCCGGGGCGCGCCCCGGTCGCCATCGAGACTGAGGGTAGGAGCCTCGGCCCTGCAATAATTGTGCGCTGGGTGCTCGATGGGAAGAGGGTTTGCTGGGTGAGCTGGTTCAGACTCCTTGAAAAATCGTCGTCACTCTGTCTTCCTCGCGGACGTTCACCTCATCTCTCTGAGCCGGCGCCCCAAGTAGAGCCAAAGTAGTTCGTACCCAGCCTTTTCACGTAACTCGTCCGAGGTGGTTCTTCTCCAAACTTTTTCTATCAAGCCCAGATCAGTAGATTTTGGGGTCAGCTGGGAGAGGCGTTAACTTTTCTTTGCACACTCTTGCCTTGTGCGCTCAACCAGTTTGAAAATGAGTGTTCTCGCAGAAGCGTTCCTTGAGTAGCCCGAGGCCACACTGCTCACCTCCCTGCAGAAGTCAAAGCCCCCCCCATGGTCTGCGAATCCCGAGGCCAGCCTGGTTACCTTCTCACTTTCCTCCTTTATTCCAGGCCGTCCAGCATCGAACACTAGCCTCCACACGTGGAAAAGACCCTGACTTCCCCAGTAGACTAGTCTTATGGGAGACCTGGCTCCTGGGCCAGGCTGCATTAGGAAAATGGAAACCATACTGTCTTCAAATTCTTCTGCCTAGCCTTAGCCATTAGAGAGAGGTCCTGCTAGCCGGGCGCGGTGGCTCACGCCTGTAATCCCAGCACTTTGGGAGGCCGAGGCGGGCGGATCACGAGGTCAGGAGATCGAGACCATCCTGGCTAACACGGTGAAACTCCGTCTCTAATAAAAAAAAAAATACAAAAAATTAGCCGGGCGCGGTGGCAGGCGTCTGTAGTCCCAGCTACTACTTGGGATCTGAGCCAGGAGAATGGCGTGAACCCGGGAGGTGGAGCTTGCAGTGAGCCGAGATCGCGCCACCGCACTCCAGTCTGGGCGACAGAGCGAGACTCCGTCTCAAAAAAAAAAAAAAAAAAAAAAAGAGAGGTCCTGCTGAAGATGGACTGCAAATGCGCTTGATGGAAGGAGATGTCAATTCCACTTAAGTCCTCATTATTTGCTGTAGGTGATATGTCATGACTTTAGGAGAAGTAATGGTGATGCCAAAAGAAGGAAAAAAAAAAACTCTTTGTGATGAAAAAAAGACAAGGATTCTCAACTTTTTATTTATTTAGTTATTTATTTTAGGCAGATTTCATTTCCCTGAGCCACTCCATGATTTGGGCCATTGAAAGTACGTTTTTTGTGTGTTTTAGGATCACTCTAAAGTAGAGACAAAATGGAGAAAGAAAAAGAAACATCACCAGGAATGTCTTTTAAAAAAATCTTTTTAAAAAATTAGCTCAAGACCGGGCGCAGTGGCTCACGCCTGTAATCCCAGCACTTTGGGAGGCCGAGGCGGGTGGATCACTTGAGGTCAGGAGTTGGAGATCGGCCTGGGCAACACGGTGAAACCCCGTCCCTACTAAAAAAAAAAAAAAAAATACAAAATTAGCCAGGTGTGGTGGCACATGCCTGTAATCCCAGCTACTCGGGAGGCTGAGGCAGGAGAATCGCTCGAACCTGGGAAGAGGAGGATGGGATGAGCCGAGATCAGGCCATTGCACTCCAGCCTGGGCAACAAGAGTAAATCTCCGTCTCACCAAAAAAAAAAAAAAAAAAAAAAAAAAAAATTAGCTCCTACTTATTTTACAAATCGTCACAATGCAAAAGTATAAAAGACACACAATAGTTATTCTCCTCATCTACTTATCCCATGCTCCTGAAGGAAATCATTCTTACCAGTTTGGTGTATATGCTTTTAGGCTTTTTTCTGTGTTCATACAAAAATATTTTCATCCAGTATTTATTGAGCACCTGTAATGCGCCATACAGTGTATTTTAGACATCTAAGTCAGCTAACATTTAAAAAATTGTTGCACAGTATTCCAGTTTATTTGTGTGCCTTGTTTATTTCCATCTTGATGAACATTAAGGTTTCAGATTTTTTTTTCTTTGTAAACAATACAATAGTGAACATCCTTAAATAGTTACCTTTTTGCCCCAGGCGAGGTGGCTCATGCCTGTAATCCCAGCACTTTGGGAGGCTGAGACGGGCAGATCACCTGAGGTCGGGAGTTCGAGACCAGCCTGACCAACATGGAGAAACCATGTCTCTTCTAAAAATACAAAATTAGCCGGGCGTGGTTGCACATGCCTGTAATCCCAGCTACTCGAGAGGCTGAGTCAGGAGAATCGCTTGAACCCGGTAGGCAAGTGTTGTGGTGAGCCGAGATCGTGCCATTGCACTCCAGCCTGTCTCAAAAAAAAAAAAGGCCGGGCGTGGTGGCTCAAGCCTGTAATCCTAGCACTTTGGGAGGCCGAGACGGGTGGATCACGAGGTCAGGAGATCGAGACCATCCTGGCTAAAACAGTGAAACCCCGTCTCTACTAAAAAATACAAAAAACTAGCCGGGTGAGGCCGCGGGCGCCTGTAGTCCCAGCTACTCGGGAGGCTGAGGCAGGAGAATGGCCTGAACCCGGGAGGCGGAGCTTGCAGTGAGCTGAGATCCGGCCACTGCACTCCAGCCTGGGGGACAGAGCAAGACTCCGTCTCAAAAAAAAAAAAAAAAAAAAAAAAAAAAAGTTACCTTTTGCATTTGTAAGGATTTGTAGATGGGATAAAATTTTTAAAATTTTATGTTTATTTTTATTTATTTATTTATTTATTTTGAGATGGAGTCTCACTCTGTCGCCCAGGGTAGAGTGCAGAGAGCGCCTCCCAAAGTGCTGGGATTACAGGCATGAGCCACCGTGCCCAGCCCCTTCTGGTATTCTTTTTTTTTTGAGATGGAATTTCACTTTTGCTGCCCAGGCTGTCAATATCGTGCCATTGCACTCCGGCCTGGGCAGCAAGAGTGAAACTCTGTCTCAACAAATAAATAAATAAATAAATACATAAAGAGATGGGCCTCCACGCCTTGTTGCCTTAGGCTGGTTTCCAACTTGTGGGCTCAAGTGATCCTCCCACTTCGTCCTTCCAAATAGGTGGGACTATTTTATTGCTTTTTGACCTTTTTAATTGTTTTTGTAAACTGTCTGTTCATATCCTTTGCCCATTAAAAAAAGGTAGATCATTTGTATATTTCTTATTGATGGTAGAAATCCTGTCCGTGTTGTGGTTAATAGCTGTTCTTTGTCATCTGCATATAAAATATTTTCTCTTTGTTTTTCACTTATCTTTCAGCTTTTGAGACAAAAGTCATGCTTTATGGGAAAATATTTGCAACATTACTATCTTTGATAGCAACAAGTCAGGGATGTTTACTATTTTTTTTTTCTTTTTGAGACGGAGTCTCGCTCTGTCGCCCAGGCTGTAGTGCAGTGGCCGGATCTCAGCTCACTGCAAGCTCTGCCACCCGGGTTTACGCCATTCTCCTGCCTCAACCTCCCGAGTAGCTGGGACTACAGGCGCCCGCCACCTCGCCCGGCTATTTTATTTTTTTTTTATTTTTATTTTTTTTGAGACGGAGTCTTGCTCTGTCACCCAGGCTGGAGCGCAGTGGCCGGATCTCAGCTCACTGCAAGCTCCGCCTCCCGGGTTTACGCCATTCTCCTGCCTCAGCCTCCCGAGTAGCTGGGACTACAGGCGCCCGCCACCTCGCCCGGCTATTTTTTTTTTTTTGTATTTTTTAGTAGAGACGGGGTTTCACCGTGTTAGCTGGGATCGTCTCTCGATCTCCTGACCTCGTGATCCGCCCATCTCGGCCTCCCAAAGTGCTGGGATTACAGGCTTGAGCCACCGCGCCCGGCCTATTTTTTGTATTTTTTTTAGTAGAGACGGAGTTTCACCGTGTTAGCCAGGATGGTCTCGATCTCCTGACCTCATGACCCGCCCATCTCAGCCTCCCAAAGTGCTGGGATTACAGGCTTGAGCCACCGCACCCGGCCGATGTTTACTATTAAAACTAATATTTTAGGAGAGCTCCTGGTCACCCTAAAGCCTCCTTGGTTTCCTATATATTCATCTTACAAAGAGAAACGATTGACAATGTATCAGAACTGTGGAGTTCAGCAACATGACCAGATGTCAGATTAATGAACAAAAATTATATAAATAAAATATAAGAATATAACCGGCCGGGCGCGGTGGCTCAAGCCTGTAATCCCAGCACTTTGGGAGGCCGAGACGGGCGGATCACAAGGTCAGGAGATCGAGACCATCCTGGCTAACATGGTGAAACCCCGTCTCTACTAAAAATACAAAAAACTAGCCAGGCGAGGTGGCGGGCGCCTGTAGTCCCAGCTACTCGGGAGGCTGAGGCAGGAGAATGGCGTGAACCCAGGAGGCGGAGCTTGCAGTGAGCTGAGACCCGGCCACTGCACTCCAGCCTGGGCGACAGAGCGAGACTCCGTCTCAAAAAAAAAAAAAAAAAAAAAAAAGAATATAACCAACACTAAAATGCCATAGAATAAATAATCCAATTCACAATAAAAACATTCTATTTTGGCCAGGCGAGGTAGCGCACACCTGTAATCCCAGTGCTTTGGGAGGCTGAGGTGGGAGGATTGCTTGAAGCCAGGAGTTTAAGACCAGCCTGGGCAACATAGTGAGACCCTGTTTACAAAAAATTAAAACATTAACCCGGCGTGGTGGCACATGCCTGTAGTCCTAGCTACTCAGGAGGCTGAGGTGGGAGAATTGTTTGAGCCCAAGAGTTTGAGGCTGCAGTAAGCCATGATTGTGCTACTGCACTTTAGCCTGGGTGATACAGCAAAACCTAATCTCTGAAATAATGATTTTTCTTCTTTTTTTTTGAGACGGAGTC